AGTGCTGTTATTAAAGGTGTGCGCCACTGTCTGGTGTATTGTTATTTTTTTACAGCTTACTCATGGGTTATAAAGACTATTCACTACTTAATGATCAACAAGTATGATTTTAAAATATATTCTTTTTAAATGACATTTTAAATTCATTTTGTCTGTATGGGCATCTGTGTGTGGAAACACAAGGACGTCAGAGGGCAGCTGTAGGAGTTGGCTTCTTCCATCCTCTGTGTGGGTCCTGTGGGTTGAACTCAGGTCACCAGGCTTGACAGCAGGTGACTCCGCCCACTGAGCCACTGGCTGCCGACATATTCAGTGGGAAGACATCGTGGAGATCTGAGGAGAGTGGGACTGGGAATACAGCTCATTCTTGTTAAATACATGATAGGAAAAAGACCACAAAAGTTAAATAATTATGAAGAATATCTCCAAACATTGATCTAACACTTCCCCAAGATACCAAATAGTTAACTACTAGATACAAGGAAGAACCAATAATAGACTAATTCAAAGAAGAGTCAAATCACAACAAGATTCTGTCACTTCATTTTCTTTGCAAGTTTCATGAATTCATATGCAATAAAGATTTCACTGGATGTTCACAGTGCACATCCTTAGGAGGAGGACATAAAATACCCCTGTCCCACGCCTGGACCAAAGCTGTAGAGACTGAGTGGGCCTCATTACCATGATGGTGGCTGTGGCTGTAGCATATTCTCCACCTCCCCAACACTCTCCAATGTTGGGACACCGGGCTTCCTCGCAGACCTGTGAAAAGGAAACGGTGCAGCAGGTTGAAGAGACCTATCTACCAACAGTGGAGCACTAGATGGCTCCAGGTTTGTTTCGTTTTTTTAAGATTATTTTTATTATAATTTTGTATGTATGGGTGTTTTGCCTGCATCTGTCTCTGTGTACCACATGCATGCCCGGTGTCAAGCAGTATTCAGAAGAGAGTGTCAGGTCCTGAAACTGGAGGTAGACACGGTTGTGAGTGGCCATGTGGGTGCTAGGAACTGAACCTGGGTCCTTTAGAAGAGAAAGTAGCCTTGCTCTTAACCACTGAGCCATCCCTCCAGCCCAGTATTATGTAATTTAAACTGCCCATTGTTTCCAATGTATCTCAGGAGAATTGTTTCTTTTGCAGGAAAATGTAAAGGGGCGCCAGAGACTAAAGTGCTTTGCTTTCAAACACACTAGGCAAGCCCTGGGTTATACTCTCTGTCCCTACATGTCTATGTATGTTTTTTTCTCACTTTGGTTTTTCAAGACAGGGTCTCTCTGTGTAGCCCAGGCTGTCCTCAAACTCACAGAGATCCACCTTTCTCTACCTGCCAAGTGCTGGGATAAAGGTGTGCGCCACCACTGCCGGGCCTCATGCACACCGCTACTACCGTAGCTCACACTTCACTCTCATCTTTACCCACTTTCCTTGCTAATGGTTATACACGCATTAACCATTTCTTTTTGGTCTGGTCTGGCACCACACATCTTATAACCTAAGCACTTAGGAAGCTAAGGCAGGAGAATCACAAGTTTGAGACTAATCAGGCCTGTACAGGCCTATTATTAGCATAGCTCCAGCCTATGCTAAACAATTAGACTGTATCTCAAAACCTTTTTGTTATAAATACGGAGAGAGACCATAAACTTGGGGTAAAATGGAGAGGAAACACACTGGCTACTCACTGTGTGGAGATTTAAATTCCGCAACGTAGTTTTCAGCTTATTGTAATTTTTACCCATGGGTATTGTCGTCTTTAACCATGGAGGCAGTCTTAACCTAGGGAAAGCCAAAATGAACAACTGCCCATCACCAACCTCTGGAAGACACGCAGCTTAGCTCTAGCAGCTCCCCAGCACAGCCTTTCCCATATTCTTGGACTCGCTCAGTTCCAGCACAGGAAGAAGAACAAAGACTCAATCTCAGGTCTGCTCAAGCTGCTTTAGGAAACACTGATGATGGAGTCTGGGGATGCCATGCTTATAACTACCTCATGCAAAGGTGCATTGCTATGCTATTCTAATTAAAGGACGGATACGTCGTTGAGTGTGTCCTTCCCTGTGAACACTACTGTCCCAGGCGTTCTCTTTGGACCACCAACCAGCTCCCAAATCATGACGTAGAGACTTAGTTATGAATACTTGACTCGGCCTTAGCTCCTACTTTAATCTGTTTCTCTTAATCTGTTTTGCCTGTGGGCTTTTTACCTTTCTTCCCTTCTGTATATCTTAACTTCACTGCTTCACGTGTCTGGCTGGCAGCTGCCTGGCATCTAGTCCAGGCATACCCCTCCTCTTTCTTTCTCATTGTTCCTTCTCCTCTCTTGAGCCTAGAGTTCTTCTACTTATTCTCTCTGCTCACTAGTCCCACCTATAACTCTTCAGCATAGCTATTGGCTGTTCAGCTTTTTATTAGGCCAGTCAGGTGCCTAAGGCAGGCAAGATGAGCTGAATGCAACACATCTTTACATTGTTAACAAAGGCAGCAGAAACAAATGTAACACAGCTTCACATAGTTCGAGAAATATTCCACAGCATAAACAAATGTAACACATCTTCACCTAATTAAAATAATATTCCACAGCATAGTACAAATTGCTACAGTAATTCCAAATAAGGAAAGAGCCCAACTGCACACTATCTCCCCTGAATTCTAGTCATTAATAAAGAGAAACAACTTGTTAGTTGTGGTGGTTGATGTCTGTGATGCTAGAATTTAAACCACAGAGGTAGGAGGATGAAAGTTCAAGGTCAAATTTAGCTACATAGTAAACCACAAAATGACAAACTGACAATAACAACAAAAGGTAGATCTAAAATTTGGAATGAAGGCTATATCCTTGTCCCCCCCTCTTAACTTTATTCACTTGTGATCTAGAAACTGTTTGTAAGTATTTTTTAAAAAGATTTATTTATTTATTATGTATACAGTGTTCTCTCTGTCTGTATGTCTGCAGGCCAGAAGAGGGCACCAGATCTCATTACAGATGGTTGTGAGCCACCATGAGGTTGCTGGGAATTGAACTCAGGACCTCTGGAAGAGCAGTCAGTGCTCTTAACCTCTGAGCCATCTCTACAGCCCGTTTGTAAGTATTTATGAAGCCAGGCAGTGGAGGCGCACGCCTTTAATCCCAGCACTCAGGAGGCAGAGGCAGGCAGATCTCTGTGAGTTCGAGGCCAGCCTGGTCTACAAGAGTTAGTTCCAGGACAGGCTCCAAAGCTACACAGAGAAACTCTGTCTCAAAAAAAAAAAAAGTAAGTATTTATGAAAACGATCCTGTGGATTCAGTCCTCACTATACTTCGTTACGGTTTCTGTTTATTGTGGTGCTAGGAATTGAACCCTGAGCCTTCCGCACGCCAGGCAACCTTTCATCATTAAAAAATAATGAAGATAAAGTAACCGTAGGCTATATGCAAACTTTCTCAGAAAAAGAACAAGTTAGAGCCAGACATGGTGGCATAGGCCTTCAATCCCAGCAATTGGGAGGTAAAACAGATGGATCTCTGTGAGTTCAAAGCCAGCCTGGTTTACAGAGTGAGTTCCAGAACATTCAGGTCTATATAGAGAATCCCTGTTTTGATAAATCAAATCAAATAAATCAATAATTACCTAGAGTAAAGTCTACACTTTTCCAATTAGATGCTAGGGTATAAAATGGAAGATCACACTGTAAAATGGTCAAGTCGTTTTAGGAAGGATGAAGAAAAATGGCCAGAGGGTACAGAAAAATAAAACGATGCTAACAGCTTTGCTCACCTATCCTATTTAGATTTATCATCACTTCTAGTAACTTTGGCAAATTTAACATGTCTGAAATTTAAAACCGACAGGGCTTGATTAAAAACAGTGCACAAAAATCAAAGGGCGGGATACTAAAATAACATCTAATATTCAGTTACCTTTCTCCTTTCTGGCGCTTTAAATTTCCTTTATATTCATCCCAGGTGCTCTTGTCCGCAAGATCACCAGACACAAAATCTTGAAGATCTGGTCCAGTCTGTAAAAATTCCTTTTTTTTATCGGGCAAAGAACTTAATGCTCTAGCCGGGCTGTATAAATATCTTCCAAATACCTACAGAAAAGGTTTATTACAACATTCATTCAGCACACTCTGGAATACTTTAGTTTTAACCCATTATAATACCAAAGCCAAACTGATTCCGAAGTTATGTAAAACGGTTTAAGGGCTGAAACTACTTAGTTTTTGGGTGAAGTCTTAAAAAGACTCAAAGTAAAAGAACCTCTAACTATGGTGGCTCAAACCTGTAATTCATCACTCAGAGGAAGCAAGGGAGGATTGTCTGGTCTACAAATTTAGTTTCAGGCCAGCTACAGATACATTTAGTTTCAGGCCAGCAACAGAGATCTGTGCATCCCCTATCCCGATAGAAAGGGGGTAGGAGTGGGGTACGAGACTAAGAGTTAAAACACTAAATGTAGATTAGGAACTGACTTAACATGTCACATTTTCATGTCTTTTTTGAGACAGGGTTTCTTTGTGTACTCCAGGCTGTCCTGGAACTCGCTCTGTAGGCCAGGCTGGCCTCGAGATCCACCTGCGTCAACCTCCCGAGTGCTGGGATTAAAGGCGTGCGCCACCACCGCCCGGCAAGTCTTCTATTCTTAAGACAGGTACTAAAAGCATGCTGTCAACAAGTTTAAACTGCAATCATTAGGATATGCCACGGCTGTGACTATTGCGTTCCTGACGAGCCAGGGCGTTCAGAAAAGGATATCTGGAAAGATTTCCCTAGTTTTGGACTTGGGATAAGCAACAGCGTTCCTGCCGCTCACCCAGAACCCCAGGCTGCGAGCCGCATCCCCGCCGCGTAGAGACATCCCCTCTCAGGTCTTAGGAGGGTCAAGGGCTCGAGGGACCAGCACTGGCGGAACTGGACGCCGCTAAACACCTGTCGCTTTGCTTATGACACGTCCTCATCGACCCTGCACGGATCGACCTGGTGGCGAGCGACTAGTTTAGTCTCACATACCGTCGCGCGCTCATGACGTCATACGTAAGGACCCTGACGGATTACAAGAACGTGATGACGAAAGACGTTCTCTCTTTGCCCCATCTACTGCGAGGTGAGCAGCTTCTGAGCTCTCTTCCCCGGGAATCTGAAGCCATCCTCTCTCGGTGACCCCGGCCGCGTTGGCCCAGTGCCCCGAGTCCTTGTCCCGACTGTCCCCCAGCACGACAGGCGTCCCCCGGATATGGCCGTGCGAGCTGGAAGCTGCGTTCTGGGCTCTCAGGCCTACGCCGGCAGTAGCCCTACCGCCATGGCACCCCGGGCTGGGCTTGCCACCGTCCCTCCGGGGCCCGCACCTTCCCAGCTCCCCCGCTCCGCTCCCGGGCCGCCCTTTGTCACGGACCCCCATTTGTGCCTTGCTCCCGGATTTTTACCTGGAGATTTCCGGTTGAAGCGGAACTCTGCCCCGTATCTGCTGTAGAGCGTGCCCTGCTCCAGCCTTCTTACCTGGGTGTTTGTGTTTCAGAATGAAGACCATTCTCAGCAATCAGACGGTCGACATTCCAGAAAATGGTAGGCGACTTCGTGCTTTGTCTTGACCGCTTTTTTGCATGTCCTGAGCCTTGGCCTGTGGTCTCACGGCTTCGTCCTGCCCTCTTTTCCAGTGGACATAACTCTGAAGGGGCGCACAGTCATTGTGAAGGGCCCCAGAGGAACCCTCCGGAGGGACTTCAATCACATCAATGTAGAGTTGAGCCTTCTTGGGAAGAAGAAGAAGAGAGTAAGGACTTCAATTGCTTTGATAGCCAAGTTGCTTGTTTGCAGAGTAGTTAAATGTTAAGCGTGAGTTTTGATGGCCTTGGGCCCGGCATACACACCATCCCAGTCCCGGGTGAATCTCTTGCCAACTTGAGGTCAGACTGGTCTACCTATTGAGTTCCAGGACAGCCAGGGCTGCGTAACCGAGACCTTGTCTCAAAAAACAAAAAGATGATGACTTTTAAGATGTTACCGATGGGGTGCCTTACTTTGGTGAAATTATAAAATCAATTCTTAGTAGTTTTTTGGACTTAATCCTGGGGTAATCCTCGAGGTTTTTTTGGTTTGGGGGGGTCATTCTTATTGAATCCTGTTCCTATGACATACAGTATTCTTGGTCATTTGTGGGAGACTTTGAATGCTCTTGTGGTCACCGGCTAAAAACTGGATGTTTTAATTCTGAAGTCTTGTTCTGTTGTAGCTCCGGGTTGACAAATGGTGGGGCAACAGGAAGGAACTGGCCACCGTCAGAACCATCTGCAGCCACGTTCAAAACATGATCAAGGGTGTTACACTGGTAAGCCAGTCCATCAGGCTGCCTTTTAACCCTTTGGGAGAGGTTCTTGGGTGTATTTTGTATATGCAAATGTTTATTACCAGGATGGGCTTTGGACTCTGATAAGTTGGGGGGCAATTTCGTTGTTTTCTGTTTGTGGGGCATACCATGGATCAAACCTAGGAATTTGCTGGGCAACCATACTCCAGCATTTTCTTAATAAATAATTTGCTGTAGCATAGATTTGATTGTTTGGTATGTGTGGCACTCCTCATAGAAAAGGTCTGACTTGTGCATGTCTAATTTGGAATCCTTTCTCCAAAGATAAAAGTTGATGCTGAAGAGGTTTGTTTCATAAAAACAACCTGTACCTCTTGGGTCATGCTTCCTCTTGCTCCCATAGTTTCGTTGGAGGACTCGACCTTTTATTTAGCTTGAAAATGTGAAGTCTGTGTTCTGGTGTGTCTAACTCAGTAAATCTAGCGCCAAAGATGAGTGTCCTGGGCTCTCACTGAAAAAAGCAAGCCAGGATAAAATAATAAAACAGATGCTTCCTCCGGGAGTGTTACTATCCAAAGAGACAGTTCCTTTGAAGTAAATGTTGATGGTGAGACCTGTTACAGGTCACAGATAGCAGGTAGGGTCTTTTAAATTTTCAAGTTAAAACAGAAGCACCTAAGGAAATTTTAGAGCTGGCCCTGATGGCACACAGCTGAAGAAGGAATCTCAGACTCTAGGCCAGCCTGAAATAAAAATGTCTTGAGATTGTTCAACATTTATTTAATGCAGGGCTTCCGCTACAAGATGAGGTCCGTGTATGCTCACTTCCCCATCAACGTCGTTATTCAGGAGAATGGGTCTTTGGTTGAAATCCGAAACTTCTTGGGTGAAAAATACATCCGCAGGGTTCGGATGAGGACAGGTATGTGTGCCCCTTCACAAATGATCAGTTGCTATGGTTCTTTTTCTTGGAGTTTTGGAATACTGGTGTCTGTGCTGAGCGTCATTTCAGAACTCTGTTTTGGTAACTCTGCTAGTTTGAGGTGGTTTTGTTTTTGAAACAAGGCTTCTCTGTAAAGCAGCACTAGTTGTCCTGAAACTTTGTAAACCAGGCTGATCTTGAACTCAGAGACCCGTCTGCCTCCCAAGTGCTGGAATTAAAGGCCTGCACCCCCTGCTCTGGCTGAGGTTTATGTAGTTTTTCCTTAAGAGACCATGTGGGAGTAGTTTGTAGGATATATAAAACAGCTTTTTGTGGATGCTGGGAATTGAATCTGTCACTCCTGTAATCACAGTATGTTCAGAAAGTCCAGTCCTAAAGTGTCAGGTTGTGTGGAGTTTTAAATAAAATTGTATTTTGTACGTGCCTCGTGTTAATGCTAATTGAATGCACACCTTTTTTAGGCGTTGCTTGTTCTGTCTCTCAAGCCCAGAAGGATGAATTAATCCTTGAAGGAAATGATATTGAGCTTGTTTCAAACTCAGGTATGTATGCTTATGTCTGTTATCTGGAAAATTTTATCTAAGCCTAAAGGTTGAATGCATAGCTGATTTCAGTTTCTGAGTAGTCAGACATTCAGAATCTGTTCTGTATATTCTACTTTGTATCATGAATACATGGTGGTTGTGTGTGTAGTTCAAAGTGATGGGTAGCATGTGGCTGACTTTTTAGATATATTGGGGGGTCTGTATGTGGCTGCCCTCAATTAACTGAGGGCAGTGAAAGATTGAGCTCCAGTAATTAGGGTTGAAGATGAGTTTGGCTAGTGAGATAGATAATGGCTTTATTTGCTTCTTCCTCTATAGCGGCTCTGATACAGCAAGCCACGACAGTTAAAAACAAGGATATCAGAAAGTTTTTGGATGGTATCTATGTGTCTGAAAAGGGAACAGTGCAGCAGGCTGATGAGTAAGACCTAAGGTAGGCGGACCTTGTTACACCAGATATTACCAAAGTATATCATTACTCTGTAATTTACAATATAGTTGAACTAAGAAAAATTTCTGGCAGGAATATTTATGGAAATCTGTATTTTGTTTCTTTTTACAGTTACCAGCTCCAGAAACAAGATCCTGAATGTTAATGCGATTTGGGGTGTATTTTGGGACAATAAAAGACTTGTATTGATTTGGGGAGTCCTGGATCTTTTCTGATTACTTAGCAAATGTGGAGATAAGTGACTTAAAAGAATAACCAGACATTTCAGGAAACAGGAGTGGTGCCGGTGATGGATGATGGATGTTCAATGGGCGTGGCACTTGGGAAGATTCTAGAGGTGTTTGGCTTTGGTCTCGGCATAATATTGACTATTTGGATGTGCAGATGTCTCAATAAGGACTGAAAATGTAAATCATGATGATTTGTTTGTAAGTTGTGTGTGAATTATTTTCCTATCCATCTGGTGAGGAGTGAACCCAGCAAACATGGAGACCTATCACTTTCTTGGATGAGTTCTACTATTGCCTCGAACTCCTAGTCCTCTTCCTACTCAGTGCTCGGAGGGCAGGCGAGCACCACCAGGCCTGGCTATTGTTAGCCTAAAAAACCTACTGTCCTTTATGTTTGCACATGGATGTGCAGTTGGTGTCCCTTTCACCTTCCCCAGTGCTGGGGGTGTGCAGACAGTGCTTCCCTGTATTCGTATGTGCCCAGAGATGTTAGTTCCCCTGAACTAGATTCTCACGGGAGTGAGAGCTGAACTCTGAAGTGCATTTCCTGCCAACAGCCAAAGCAAATGTAGGGCTGGCTACCTGCACTTGCTACTCTGATGGTAACAGGGCATCAGACATGCATGTGAAACATAAAGGCAGACTTGACACTCCTGCACATCAAATTTTAAAATATTTCTAAGTCTGAAGGTCAGAAAGGGTGTTCACTTGGGGCTAGAGTTAGGTGGAGTTTATGAGCGCTTTGAAGACACACTGAATCAAACTTAAGCATTTGACAGCCATGCAAGAAATTCTTGGTTAACCTTTTTTGTCCTGTCATTGTATGGGTAGGTGGCCTGGCCATTTTGTGTGTGTGTAAGTCAGTGGACAACTTGGAGTCTACTTATTTGGGTTCTAGGAATCAAATTCAGGTTGTCAGGTTTGTAAAGCAAGGCGCTTTTTTTTTTTTTTAAAGATACTATCGTGTAGACTCTAAGTTCTTGAGATAAGGTTTCTTTAGCCCTGGCTGTCCTGGAGCTATACACCAGGCTGGCCTCATGTAAGAGAACCACCTGCTTCTGCCTTCTGGGGTTAAAGGTTTGTGCTACTGTGCCCAACTGGATTTGCACATAACTGTCACACCTAACCAAATCTACAAACTGTACAGACATGTCCGTAGTCCCTGGCAAGAGAATCAGTGAGGCTGTGTGAGATGATCGTAGCTCAGTTGGCAGAGTGCTTTCCTAGTGTTAAAGCCTCGGCAATGCATGTGTGTGTGGCTGGTGTGTGCCTGTCAGTAATCCTGACCTTACAGGAGTGGGAACATAATCTTCAAGACAAGCCTCAGCCACATATTTGACCAGTTTGTTAGAGTTGCCAGCCAATGCTCTTAACCGCTGACCCATCTCTCCAGCCCCCCCCCTGTTTTACCCTTCCGTGCTATACCAAACATCCTGGTTGATGCCAATTATACTGAACTATCGGTGGAGGCCCTGAGCTCAGTTCCCAGAACCATATGGTGGTGGTGGTTCACAACTATCTGAAATGAGATCTGACACCCTCTTCTGACCTGCAGGCATATGTACAGACAGAACACTACATAATAAGTAAACTGTTCTTTGGGAGCTGGAGAGGACTCAGGTTAAGAGGCTGCTCTTCCAGAGGTCCCGAGTTCAATTCCCAGCAACCACATGGTGGCTCACAACCATGGGATCTGGTGCCCACTTTTGCTGTGCAGGCATAGATGCAGGTAGAACACTATACATAATAAATCTTTAAAAGAAAATGGTTCTTCAGTATCAATCAAACGTAGGATCTTGTGTGCTGGGGAAGTACTGAGTTCCACTGAGCCATATCTCCAACCTGTGTCTGGGAGAATCTTGGTGCATTTACTATCACTAGAGTGACCTAATGATTTTCATGTGATCAATTAAAATGGGTAACTGTACATGCTCGCTGAACCCCCGAGTGTAGCAGTAGGAAGCGTTGGGCTAGGAACTTTACATTTGGGGAACTCAGCAAGGCAAGTTTAGGGATGAGGAACATGTTCTAAGTTTAGCTTAATGGAAACCCATTTTTAAGAAAGTTTTAATTATGTATACAGTGTTCTGTCTTCATGTATGCCTGCAGGCCAGAAGAGGGCACCAGATCTCAGATGTTTGTGAGTCACCATGAGGTTGCTGGGAATTGAACTCAGTGCATCTGGAAAAGAGCAGGCAGGTGCTTTAACCGCTGAGCCATCTCTCCAGCCCTGGAAACACATCGTTAAGTAAAGGTTTCAGTTGGGTATGTGGTGGTACATCCCTGTAACCCTTGAAGTTGAGGCAGGAGGATCAGAACTTGGAGGTTGTCCTGAGAGATATGTATAGTCAGCTAGGACTATATATGAGACCTGTCTCAAAAACACAAAACAGTTGCTAATTGAGTTAGAAACCATAACTGAATTGAGCATGGTAGTGCACACCTTAATCCCAGCACTCTTGAGGCTGAGGCAGGAGCATCATTGCCAGTTTGAGGTCAGCCTAGTCTATATAATGACACCCAATCAAAACCTTAAAATTTGGTACTTGAATTAAGGATTGATTCCAAGTTCTCTGTTACTCCTATTGCCTGCTGCGTTTTCCAAGACTAACACGGAGGTTTATAAATGCTAAGAAGTTAATAAGGTGATTTTAAAAAGTTTTTCTTGAGTGAATTCGTGTGGCTTAACCCAGGTAGGGCTGTAGAGACCCCCACAGTGGGTAAGAGCACTTGTTGCTCTTCAGAGGAGTCAGGTTTTATTTCCAATACCTATATGGAGGCTCATAGCCGTTTGTAACTCCAGTTCCAGGAGATCTAGTGTACTCTTCTGCCCTTCAAAGGTGCCAGGTGCACATGTATGCAGGCAAAATACTCAATTCTAAGAAGTTTTTGGAAGTTTTTGTTTTTTTAAAGACCAAGTGATCCGTAGCTTTTCTATGTGACTACCAATACAGTCACTCAGCCAACTACAATGGGTGTCCTGTCCTTAGACAGTTCTCAAAAGAGAGTAAAGATTCTTTTACTACTAAGGAGACAGGCAGGGGGAGTTCGAGGCTAACCTGGTCTGTATAGTGAATTCCAGGCCAGCCAGGACTCTGCAGTGAGACCCAGATTTGGTTTCTAGCCCCCAATGTGTTGACTTATATCCATCTGTAACTTCAGTTGCAGGGTATCTGGTGCCTCTTCTGGCTTCCAAGGACAAAGGCATACAAGTGGTGCATACATGCATGAGGCAAAACACCCATACATGTTTTAAAAAGGAAAAACCTGCTCAGATTGGCAGGGGGTGGGGTTGGGAACCAGAAGGAGAAAGCAAACATCTGCTGTTAGATTTGGCTAGTCCAGTAGCAGCTTTATTTCTGATCGCTTTGGCACATGCTATCGAAAATTAGTGATTATAAGAATTAAACAGTTGTGGCCGGGTGGAGGTGGCAGTGCACACCTTTAATCCCATCATTAAGGAGGCAAAGGCAGATGAATCTTGAGTTTGAGGCCAGTCTGGTCTACAGAGTGAGTTCTAAGATGGCCAGGGATAGAGACACCTGTCTACAGGGTGGGGAAAAAACCCTAATTATGTCTGACATCTTAACAAGGTAGATCTGAAAGATAATTAAAATCACCTTACCATTTAGGATGCTTTGTTACTAAGGCTCTTTTTGGAAGAGCTACTTTTCTTTGACTCCTAAGTCTAAATTCCTGGAGAGGTTTAACAGTGACTGGGTAACATGGTTATTTATATATTGACTTGAAATAATGGCTATGGATGGGTACACATTCAAATTATCCCTAGTGTTGGTGATCAAATACAAAAGTATCCAAATTGAGGTATACTTAGTGTTAGCCTTAAAAGGTGAAATACAATTATTCAAACTGACATGCTGGATTCCTCCGTTCAGATTCCCTGGTTGTGTTCTGTACCTATGTGCATGAGAAGTTACAAAGCTCTAGGAATAGTGGTAAGGTCTTTGCCCTTTACTCATAGTAAGATCAACATCTTTTTAACTTTCCTAAGTGTGCCAGGTCGTCTTTCCTCCAGGGCAATAGGGATAATGTCAGTTTATTTTAAAATGGAAATTGCTGTGCTGTAAAGCTAAGTGAACGTGATCTTCACAGACACTGGGTCTAGTTGTCTGTCCTGTGATCTTTCCATGACATGAGTTGTGGAAGTTACTTTTAAAATCAGAACTCCAACCTGGATATGGTGGGCACACCTTTAGTTCCAGCGCTCTGGAGGCAGAGGTAGATTGATCTCTGAGTTCAAGGCCATCCTTGTCTACAGAGCGAGTTTCAGGACAGTCAGAGCTACAAAAAAATACTCTGTTTTGAACCTTCTCCCCCAAACCCTCCTACCAAAACAGAAGTTCAGGAAGAGAGAGCTCACAAAATCAGATGTTTAAAAAATGCCTGTTTTTTGTTTTTGTGAAAAGTTAAGATTTGTATGTTTTAAATCATATGCTTTAACTGCCTATGGACAAGCATTATCTAAAATTGTGTTGTGTTTCTACATTCCCTCTGAGGACTACACCTCATCTAAACAGAGCACCTTGTTAGAAGTGACAGCATCTGTCACTAACTGTCCAGTTTAAAGAATAGTCTTAGCTGGGTGTGGTTAATCCCAGCACTCAAAAGGCTGAAGCAGGTGGATCTTTGTGAGTTCCAGAACACCCAGAGTACATAATAGACACTGTCTCAAAAAAAAAAAAAAAAAACAATAACAACAAAATAGTTTGAAACTATGAAGTCTAAAACAACAGAACTTCACTTTTTAAAATTAATTTCTTTACCATGGATAGTGATTGCTATTTACAGAAGAGCTAGAGAAAAATGATGTGAAACATGCTTCAAACTTCCTAAAACCATGTTAGCCATGTTTGGGGCCATCCCCAGAATTCCTGTCGAGATGAAGCCTTCAGCTCAAAGAACTGTATTCACTGGTCGTCAGTACCGAAGGGAAGGATT